CAAGAAAGGTTTTAGTGACCAGGATAACCACGATGGTGTGGTCACTTAACTAGAGCCAGACATCCTGGAGTGTGAAGTCAAGCGGGTCTTAGGAAACATTACTACAAACAAAGCTAGTGGAGGTGACAGAATTCCAGCTGAGCTACTTAAAATCGTAAAAGATGATGCTATTGAAGTGTTGCACTCAATATTTCAGCATATTTGGAAAACTCAGCAGAGACCACAGGACTGGAAAAGATCAATTTTCATTCTAATGTCAAACAAGGGCAATGCCAAAGAATGTCCAGCCTACTGTACAATTGCCCTCATTTCACATGGCCGCAAGCTTATGCTCTGCTGGGGTCCAGCCTCGGCAGGATCCAGGGGATATCCTCAGGATGAACGGCATCGGTGAGAGAGAGAGAAGACACGTGAGACCAGCCTTGATAGGGCCAAGTCTGCGAGGGAGAGAGAGACAGAGAGACAGAGAGAGAGAGAGAGAGAGAGAATGACCAGACGGGGGTGTTTGCAGGGTCTGGCAGAGTCTGGCAATGCTTTATTTTTTACCATGGCTTTTATACCCTAAATTAGTAACACTTCTAAGGGGAAGATAGTTTGACATTACATCAGCTTGTTCTTCATGAAACCAGGGTGTTTTCTGCATACTTCTTTGTTAATGAGGGTCTTGTACATTATCTTCTGGCCTTGGGGCCTATTGACATTTTATGACCTAGGTGAATGCAAAGCTGTTTTCCATAATCTATTCTTTAATGAACACAAAGGTCAGTCCTTTTGCAGAAGTTATCAGTTAAATTTATCTAAAAGTTTACCACACAAAGACTCTGCAGCTCCAGTGAGGCAGCCCCTGTTTAGCATTCCTGGTTAAAATTAACAATTTTAAACTCTTATTTTTCTAAATCTTTAACTATAACCACTTTTAGAATAATATTTTTATGTTCTCTAATAGGGCTTCCTCACCCACAAAGGGTTCTCTGCCTACTAGGGCCTTTATGTGATCAGGTTCTTTACGCTGTTTTATGATTAGGGTATTATAAGCAATCATGCATATTAGTACCAAGGGCATAAACGCATTTGCCAAACAAACTAAAATACCAGCAAAGGAGTTTAAATTGAAACACTCCTTTCACCCTGGATAATCTCATAAAATACCACCACCTGGGAAACTTATTGATTAAAGTTCTAAATTAATTCTTATTTGGAAAGAGATCGGGGAAAGCCTTCTGCCTGTGTCACAGAAATTAGGGAGTAGTCTATTGAAGCAAGCATCAGAAAGACAGGTATCATCTTTAAGGTGAGCGCGGGGGCAGCTTTTGGGAATCCCTGAAAACCTGATCCGCCTTGCCTGTCAGGTTTTCTCCCTCATGACCTTGTCAGGGGTGGGATCTCATGTGCCGGCTCCCAGCAATGCTCAAAATCCTTCAAGCTAGGCTTCAGCAGTACATGAACCAAGAACTTGCATATGTATGAGCTGAGTTTAGAAAAGGCAGAGGAACCAGAGATCAAATTGCCAACATTTGTTGGATCATGGAGAAAGCAAGGGAATTCCAGAAAAACATCTGCTTCACTGACTATGCTAAAAAGCCTTTGGCTGTATGGATCACAACAAACTGTGGAAAATTCTTCAAGAGATGGGAGTACCAGACCACCTTACCTGCCTCATGTGAAACCTGTATGCAGGTCAAGAAGTAACAGTTAAAACCAGACATGGAGCAGCTGACTGGTTCCAAATTGAGAAAGGAGCATGACAAGGCTCTATGCTGTCACTCTGCTTATTTAACTTTCACACAGAGAACAGACTAAAATGCTGGGCTGGATGAATCACAAGCTGGAATCAAGATTGCCAGGAGAAATATCAACACCCTCAGATATGGAAATGATACCACTCTAATGGCAGAAAGTAAAGAGAGACTCAAGAGCCTCTTGATGAAGGCGAAAGAGGAGAGTAGAGAAGCTAGCTTGGAACTCCACATTAAAAAACCTAAGATCATGGCATCTGGTTCCATCATTTAATGGCAAATAGAAAGAGGAAAAGTGAAAGTAAGGACAGATTTTATTTTCTTGGGCTGAAAAATCACTGCGAACAGTGACTGCAGCCATGAAGTTAAAAATGTTTGCTTCTTGCATGCAAAACTATGACAAACCTAGACAGCATATTAAAAAGTAGAAATACCACTTTGCTGACCAAAGTCCATATAATCAAAGCTATGGTTTTTACAGCAGTCATTATGAATGTGACAGGTGGACCATAAAGAAGGCCGAGGGCCAAAGAATTTATGCTTTTGAACTGTGGTGCTGGAGAAGACTCTTGAGAGTCCCTTGAACAGCAAGGAGATTAAATTAGTCAATCCTAAAGGAAATCAACCCAGAATATTCATTGGAAGAACTGATGCCAATGCTGGATACTTTGACCACCTGATGCGAAGAACTGACTCATGGGAAAAGACCCTGATGCTGGGAAAGATTGAAGGCAGGAGGAGAAGGGGGCGGCAGAGGATGAGATGGTTCCATGGCATCACTGCCTCAATGGACATGAGTTTGAGCAAAATCAGGGAGACAGTGAAGGACAGGGAATCTGGATGTGCTGCGGTCCCAGAGTAGCAAAGAGTCGACACGACTGAGCAACTGAATGACAAAACGGCCACTACTTCTGCAAATAGATAGGTAGTGTTTTGGAGAACACTATTTTTTACTCCAAAACTACTGGATCTGGTCACTGGTAACATGAAAGATTTCAAAAAATGTTTGGCAGGAAGACTAGATCTTAAGTGTCCTTGAGGTCAAGGGCCATGAGCTTCTTCATATTTGTCTACATATGAACAGCTCTTATTAACATAGAGCTGAATGTCACACATAATACCTAAGAAGTATGAGATCCAGAAAAAAAATATTTTTGTGGATTTCAAAGGAGTGCAGAAGCAGTGTCTAATAAGCTTATGAGCATGATGGAATGAGTTTTGTTTTATTAAAGGTCAGCAGAATTTGATAAAATCACTGTTTGCCAAGGAATGGGTCACAGAGCAAGCTGGGGAGTATGTACCTTTGCAAAAGATGTATCAGAATGGGGAATACAGGGGGCCAGAAATGCCATGTGTGATTTACATATTCTTAGGATCTTATAAGAAAAGTGAAGTAAGTATATGTATGATTTTCAGTGGATGGAGTGGGAGGTGTGGGTGCTTTTGAAGAGCATGTATGAAGAATATTCCAATCTGAGCACATATACAAAACTGGCTGGAAGGTATGGCATTCACAGGTATGGATTTTTAAAGACTGAACCACTGGCCTGAATAACCAGGTAACCCATTCAAACCACTTTAGTACTAAGAAAATAGAGCTGCCTTTCAAATATCAGTGATCGTGGCTTTCACTATCTCCAGACCCCATGACCATTCCTAATCTGTATACTTCCAACTCTTTATACTTAGCTTTATATTTTTCTTCATAAAAGCTGAAGGATGGTGTTCACAATTTTTTCTTCTTTTCCACTTAAGGAAATTTGGCATGTTTTTAAAATTTTTTAAATACTCTTGCCTTCAGGCTTCTATTCTCCTGGTATTTTATAGAATAGTGTTTGTCTGGAAGGCAGACAGCAAAAATACTCATATGTGATCACGTGGAGAAAAGTAGTCTGCATTCTGAAAGCAGTGGAAAATATTGGGTTTGACAAAATGTTCATTTGCGTTTTTCTATAAGAGATTACAGAAAGACTCAAACTTTTTGGCCAACCCAGTACACGGGTAAGACGCTGTAGGTGGAGGGAGCATTGGTTAAGCACAAGTTAAAGGAGAAAGGCGACCCTTGTCAATTAGATTATGAAGCTCAGCACTTCTCTCCAACAATTTGAGTAAATGAAGGCAAAGTCAAGGTGCAACAAGCATATGCCTGTGGACCACGTGTATGTGTTTGTGCACGTTCCCTAAACATCCCTAATATATTCATCCAAGGGGCTTCCCTGGTGGCTTAGACTCTAAAGAATCTGCCCACAATTCAGGAGACCCGGGTTCCATCCCTGGGTTGGGAAGATATCCTGGAGAAGGGAATGGCAACCCACTCCAGTATTCTTGCCTGGAGATTTCCATGGACAGAGGGAGCCTTGTGGGCTTAGCCCAGGAGATCACAAGGAGTCAGACAGAACTGAGCAACTAACACTTTCATATTCATCCAAGATGTTCTTTTCCTAAGCCTTTAATACATCCAAAAGAGAAGTTGCTCAGTCGTGTCTGACTCTTTTGGATCCCAGGGACTGTAGCCTGCCAGACTCCTCCATCCATGGCATTTTGCAGGGAAGGATACTGGAGTGGGTTGCCATTTCCTTTTCTAGGCAGGGTATCTTCCTGACCCAGGGGTCAAACCCAGGTCTCCTGCACTGCAGTCAGACTCTTTACCATCTGAGCCACCAAGGACGCCCCTAACACATCCAAGGTAGAAAACAATTAAAAGATGCTCTGTGTATACGATTATCAGGCCAATCACATGGACAGAGCCTCCACTGGGTCTCAGAATTCAGGGTGAAACCACGGGGAAAGATCATTTCAGCACCAAGATGGGTAATTTCAGCACCCCATTGGGTAATTGGATGGCCAGGATGCAGGTTTCTTTCATTTGATTTTAAGTTATTCTCAAGAAATACTGCCCATGGATAAACTTTCTATGATTTCTAGCAAAGAGTAAGAGATAAATACTCTTTCATTTCACACTTAGGTTCTCCTATGAGACTATACTCTATGGCGGAGGCTTCATAACTGAAGACTTTCATGATTCTTTATTTTCCCAACATTTCAAAATTAATAGAGAAGAAACCTTGAAGAGGAAAACATTCCCCAAGTAAGATACTAAAAAGTAAAACGTCTGAGATGGGTGGGATGAGGGAGGAGGTTTAAGAGGGAGGGGACATATGTACAGCTATGGCTGATTCATGTTCGTATGTGGCAGAAACCCAACCCAATATTGTAAAGCAATTATCCTCCAATCAAAAATAAGTATTTTTTAAAAGTACAGTGTGTTTCTGAATTTCTTTAATAAATTTCATTTCAGTCTTCAAAATGTATGTCTTACAATGCATCCCATAACTAGGTGAATACATTCACAGTGGTATACACCCACAAATGGTTGGTTAAACTTCAAGAGTTGAAATTTGACTGCCAGGGGTCAAATTCCATTTATTAACCTCATGACCTTGGGCAAATTACCCTAACCGTACTGTTCCAGGTCCCTTGTCTAGGTAACAAGAATCCTATAAGTAATAGTCCCAATACTTTATTAGGTCATTGTCATGAGGATTAAATGAGTTAATCCCTCCTAAAGGTTTAGCATAGTCTCCAGTACATAGAAAGGACCCAATAAATGTAAATGAGGTTAACATTATATAAATAAAAGAAATCATACTAAAACTCATTCTAAGACAGGTTTCAAAATTGAAATTGTTGACAGCAGACCCTTGCCTCCACTTCCCACAAAGAGGGATTGAGTCTTCTGAGATGATTTGCAAGCAAAAGATAAAGACATAAGCTATCATACACCAAATCAAATTCCATTCACACAAAATAATTTCATGTTGACAAAATTGTTATCTTCAGAAATACTACTTTGTTAAAACTCTAAACCCTCAAAGCCAATAGCTAAAAATGTAAGCAAATTAGAAGTCACTCTCTCTGTGTAGCTTTCTAACAAAATTTCACATCATGAACTTCTAATAATGTTTCTTGTCCACAGATTATAATAACCTACTTCCAAATCACATCATTTCCTTTTTCTGCCTCATTTCCTTCAAAGTGAAGCATAATTTTTTCTTGGACCTAGAATAAAAAATTCTAGCTGAACTAAGCAAATCATTACCAGAAATGAAATTTTATAATAATACTATTTCACAGTACTCAAAAAACATAAAACATCTGTGTGGTATTTGTTAATACATAAAAATAACCTAATATTATAGTGTACACCACCTAAGTGGAAAATTTAGTCTATAACCAGAAGTGCAAATAGAAATCACTAGATTCCATCAGTGTTGGGTTTTGAAGTCCTGTTGGGAACATTTAAGAACTGTGACACTTAAGTCTTAGCCAGAGGTCACAAACTTCTTGGCACAGATGTTTGTTCAGCCAACACAGTATTTCAACAATTATTAAACTCACAGATCTTTAGGTGGGCCATGCCCTCTATTTACCTGATGTGCCCTTAAAGGCATTTTATTCAGCAAAACCTGATTAAGGCCCATCATTACAGAAAAGAGATCATATGATAATCAGCAGTTAAATAGGTACCTCCATTACTGACAGCCTGAAGTCCAGAGCCTGGAAAATTAAAGATACTAACAGTCACACTCAGAAATTCTTCTGGTTTGCCTGTTGGACTAATTTTAAATACATACTTTCAATGTATGTACCTAACAGTGGCACATTTGATTAGGACTGCTGAGTTGAGTTGTTAAAAATGATTTATAGCTTGATATTGAAAGAAGCCAGAAAATAGAGAATTTTAAAAAACATATTCTATTGATATGAAAATCTGCACTAAAGTCCAAATTTCACATAATTTTTAAAAAATTAAAGACATTCAGTCCATCGTTGGTTTTTCTTCATATAAAAGGAAGTGAATTTGCTCAATGCACTATATAGAAAGGAACTAGTTTCTACTAATGTATTTTTAATGACTATTTATATATATACATACATAGAGACACAAGCACATATGCACAAACTCAGAGCAGCAACTGAGTCAACTATTACTCTTGGGTTTTTTTAGTTTCATCGCAATTTCCAGAAGATTCTGTTCCACTTACAAACTAAGTCTGAGTCTAGGACCCAAAGAAGGGAACACTGGAGAGGGTTTCCTAAAACATTAGTCCATGTTTCACTCCTAAGGTATTAGGTTTTAGGCACTGATGAGGCACAAGCTAGCAGGCTTTAGAGCCCAAATGTTATTAATCAAGCGTCCTTTTAAGTCAACATGGCAGACTGTGTCCATTCACACTGTGCCAGGTAGTACACCCTTGTCTCTTGCGTCTTCTTCAGAACACAAATACAAGGCACCTTGCAGTGACTTTGCTTCTGGGGGCAGTGCGTCTGCCCCTGGACTCTCCTGGATTAGTCTCTCTGAGGGTTCAGGCGAATTCTCCCTCCATCCCGGACTCGAATGCTGCTGGGAGACTTCCCAGAGTGAAGCACATGGAGAAGGGAAACCTAGAGCCGATCGCGAGAGGGGGTCCTCTTGAAGGACTACTTCTTGGAGACACCTGTTGGAAAGCACTTCCTTTTCTTTGGAATTCCGCCATTTCATTCTTCTGTTCTGAAACCAGATTTTCACCTAGTAATAAAGTAATTGAACAAAATGATCACTTAACTCCACATTACTTCACTTCAGCATTTTAAACTGTAATTTTTCCCACTGTTCATTCCACAGAATGCCTTATTATGAGAGCCAGCCTAGCAAAGCCCTTGTAGTTTTTCAGTCCAAAAATATCTGAGAAATTAATATAACATGTCCACACACTTATGAAACAAAACAACTGTGGTTAAGTTGGTGACATCTTATAAGTCGGGCATCTTTCAAGACTTGTTTACCTCTTTTCAATATTTTAAAACCTCATTTAGTTTATGCTAAATTATTTATCCAAAGGAAATGTTATCAGCTAGTAATATCATCTGAGTGTTTTTTTGGTTTTTTTTTTTTTTTGGTGCCAAGTGTCAAGCCAGGCACTCAACATAGGTTTTACAATTTGATCCTCACAGGGACTGCAAGAAGTCCTTATTGCTCACATAAGGAAACTGAGGTTCAAAGCAATGAACTAGTTCAAGGGCACACAGCTTATAAAATGGAAGTACTTAGACTAGACTCAGTGACAGTCCCACTCCAGTGCTGAGGCTCCTATAAACATTCAAACCTCATCAGAAACTTTTGGAGACTAAATTAAGAATACATTTCATAATGCTTAGATAAATTGCAGGCTTAATATAATTTCCAAGTTAGAGCACTCCCACGGCTTATCAACTTCAAAGAATTAGGTTCAATAAATTCCAACTGATTGTAATGAACCTTAAAGTGCTTATGATGGTAGTTTCTAATCTGAGCCATATCTGCCCCCACCCCACTTGAATCTTTTCTACTAACTTCCCTCTTTACCTACTATGTACTCAACTGTACCTGAGCAGAAAACATCGCAATTGGTTTCCTGGTGGTTGAAAAGTCAATCACATTGCTTTCCTGCACATTACACTGCATCCTTTTGAGTAGCTTTCTATTTTTAAAACAAAAACTGGAAAATTTTTACCTAAAGAAATAATTATTAAAGGGTACAAACCAAATATTTCTCCCAATGAAGTAAAACTCTAACTCTAACTGCGACGGTCTTTCCAGATTGGCAAAACATTTTTTCAAAGTGAGTGGCAATGTCCAAAACGGCTACAAAAGAAGCTTATTGCAGGCAGCTGAGTCCGAAATACAGCCATCTCAGTTACAAGGCTTTTCATAAGAAAACAGTACTACTGTATACATACCAGAGCACTTGGTTCTATTCATAAACTCATTTATTATTTGCAGTAGGCATTTACTCCCAGAAAATCTGCCAAGTATTTCTAATGGGTTTTTACTAAGACAGTTGTGTTCCCATTAGTGATTCTTGCCTCTTTATCACATCAATTATTTTCTTCTCCTGTTAGCTTTTCTGTCTAGAAAATTTTTGAGTAATATCTCAATTTGAAGAAAATCATGAAAGAAGTTTTTTCATAAGTGGTATTGGGACACGTGTACCATAAGTGGTACTGGGACAAATGTACGTACTTGGGGAAAATCACAAAAGTTCTGGGCTTCCTCAGTGGCTCAGTGGTAAAGAATCTGCCTGCAATGCAAGAGACCTGGGTTCGATCCCTGGGTCAGGAAGATCCCTGGAGCAGGTCATGGCAACCCATTAAACTAATCTTGTCTGCAGAATCCCATGGACAGAGAAGCCTGGTGGGCTACAGTCCATAGCGTCACAAAGAGTCAAGACATGACCGAAGCAACTTAGCACACATACATTCATAAAAGTTCTACCTCTCAGTAAAAATCTCAGATAGATAAAACAGCTAAACATAAGCACAAAACTATAAAAGTTCTAGAAGAAAATATAAGAGATGATCATTACAGTCTTAGGGAGATGAATGTTTTCTTAAGCATGACAAAACAGTAAGGCTACAAAAGGAAAGCTAGATCTGACTACCTAAAAAGGAGAAGCTTTTGTACAAATAAAGATGACCAAAAACATATGAAAAAGCCACAAATTATCCAAAATAATTAAAAGTAGGGACTCAAAGAAGTATTTGTACACACAATGTTCACAGCAGCAATATTTATATTAGCCAAAAAGTGGAAGCAACCCAAATGACCATTGATGGATGAATGAATATACAAAATGTGGTCCATATATACAATTGAATATCATTCAGACCTAACAAGGAAGGAAGTTCTAACACATGCTACAATACAGATGGAACTTGAAGACATAGTGTCCAGTGAAATATGCCAGTAACAAAAGGACAAATACAGTATGATTCCACTTATATGAAGTATCTAGAGTAGTCAAATTCATAGAGACAGAAAGAAGAATGGTGTTTGCCAGGTGCTTGGGGTACGGAGGAACAGGGAGTCACTGTTTAATGAATGCAAAGTTTCAGTTCTGAGAGATGAAAAAAGTTCTGGAATAGATGGTGATGACGGCTGCCTAACAACGTGAATGTACTTAATGCCACTGAATTGTACACTTCCAAAAGGTTAAAATGGTAAACTTTACGTTATGTGTATTTTATCACAATAAAAAAAAAGACACAAACTTGGAAGGGATTTCTATGACAGCTGTTAACAGGAAAATGTTACTGACCATACTATTTCAAATATTTTGATTAACAGACAAAATAACTGCTGCATATCCATCAACAAAAAGACAATACGATAGAAATAAAATGATATAGCCATGAGAAGTCTAAATCCAGATGAAAATAACCAGTAAAAAGATTCCAAAGTTCTGATAACTAGGAAAAAAACAACAAATACAAGCTGCCAATGAAGGTGGCAACATTTTCAAAAATTTAAATAGTGGGACTATTTTAAAAAAGGGGACTGTTCATTAGTAGGAGTGAAATCTGATACAATTCAATATATTGATACAATATTATATTTGGAAAGGAATTTTTTAATTGATCACAATTTAAAATGTACATAAACTTTAACCTATAAGTCCCACTCCTAGTTTCCTATCTTACTTTTAATATTTTTAAAGTGCATAAAGATATGTAATAGTAAAAACTAGGAAGTAACTAAAGCTGAAGATGGCTATGTGAATTACAGTATATCCATGTAATGGTCAGTTCTAAGACACTAAAGAAAAATGAAGTAAATGTGTATGCAGATATGCAAGGATGTATCGTATCTTATGACATTTGAATGGGGGCGGGGGGAGCAAAGTGTAAAACAATAGTGATTGTCAACAGCATTTTCATAATAGCCAAAAAATGGGAACAATCCCAATGGCCACCATTAGAATGGATACACCGTGGTGTACCATGTAATACTACGTAGTGATAAGTGTAAATGAGCCTCTGCTACAACACAGCCACATGGATGAATCTCACAAAATATGGTCAGTGAAAGAAGCCATATACCAAAGAAGATGAACTGAGTGATATTATTTATACAAAGCACAAAAATGGGCAAACTAATCCATTCAGTTTGGTCGGGAAGGAGCAGGTAGTGCCTGGGAATGGGTGCCTGCAGGGGCATCTGGCCCCATGGTAAAGTCCTACTGCCTGAGCTGTGTGCTGGTTACTCAGGTGATTTGTATTGTCCTTTGGAAAACATCAAAATATGTGCAGAGTGTGATCCCATTTTTACCTAAAAATACGTATATGTGCTTCTAGGTCACAGCTTCTTCCATCCGTAAAACAGAAATAACAGAAGTAGCTATTTTATTATCTGTAAATGACACCAAATGTCAGGGGACGTGGTAATCATTATGCAAGAGTCTATCTTTTTTTTTTAATAGGGCTTCCCAAGTGGCACTAGTGGTAAAGAACACACTTGCCAGTGCAAGAGATGTAAGAGACTCTGGTTCAATCCATGGGTCGGGAAGATCCCCTGGAGGAGGGCATGACAACCCGCTCCAGCGTTCTTGCCTGGAGAATCCCATGGACAGAGGAGCCTGGCAGGCTACAGCCCAAAGGGTCACAAAGAGTAGGACACAACTGAAGTGACCTAGCATGTGTTTTTTATGTGTTCGTGCATATACGACAAACATATAAGCTTATTTGGGAAAGGAGTATGAAAGGCTGTATATTGTCACTGTGTTTATTTAACTTATATGCAGAGTACATCATGAGAAATGCTGGGCTGGATGAAGCACAAGCTGGAATCAAGACTGCCAGGAGAAATATCAACAACCTCAGATATGGAAATGATACCATTCTAATGGCAGAAAGCAAAGAAGAACTAAAGAGACTCTTGATGGGGGTGAAAGAGGAGAGTGGAAAAAAAAAAAAAAAACTGGCTTAAAACACAACATTCAAAAAACTAAGATCATGACATCCAGTCTCATCACTTCATGGCAAATAGAAGGGGAGAAAGTGGGACCAGTGACATTTTATTTTCTTGGGCTCTGAAATTACTGAGGACAGTGACTGAAGCCATGAAATTAAAAGATGCTTGCTCCTTGGAAGGAAAGCAATGACAAATCTAGACAGTGCATTAAAAAACAGCAATATCACTTTGTCATCAAAGGTTTACATAGTTAAAGCTTTGGTTTTTCCAGTAGTCATGTACAGATGTGAGAGGTGGACCATAAAGAAGGCTGACACCAAACAAGTGATGTTTTTGAATTGTGGTGTTGGAGAAGACTCTCAAGAGTCTCTTGGACAGCAAGAAGATCACATCAGTCAATCCTAAAGGAAATCAACTCTGAATTTTCATTGGAAGGACTGATGCTAAAGCTGAAACTCCAATACTTTGGCCATCTGATGCAAAGAGCCAACTCACTGGAAAAGACCCTGATGCTGGGAAAGACTGAGGGCAGGAGGAGAAGGGGATGACAGAGGATGAGATAATCAGATAGCATCATTGACTCATGGACTTGAATTTGAGCAAACTCCAGGAGACAGTGGAGAACAGAGGAGCCTAACGTGCTGCAATCCGTGGCATCACAAAGAGTTGGATACAACTTAGTAACTGAACAACAACAATGACAACATATGAAACAAGAAAATGTTAACCTACTTCTGAGCTGTTCACCAAATTCATTGAGATAAAAAACATTCTTTCCTGAGGTATTTGAATTTTAAAACCAATATAATCAACTATGTACAACTATGTGCCTATGTATAAGAACTGAGAGATAACATGAAACTATGGAAACAGTTTGTTTTCTCAGAGTGGAAATATTACAGTCAACTCCTCATAAATATTATTTAATAGGCTTGATGCAATCCTTTTTCAATAGTTCATTTTAAAAGAAGATACTATGTACTATTACGGATTTTCACACTTTATCAGAGCACTGTCAGATTAATCCTAGCCATTTTTGCTCTTTAACACCTAAGAATCTGCCTGCCAATACATTTGAAAGAGACGCAGGTACGACTCCTGGGTGGGGAAGATCCCTTGGAGAAGGGAATGGAAACCCACTCCAGTATTCTTGCCTGGAAAATCCCACGGACAGAGGAGCCTGGTGGGCTATAATCCATGGGATTGAAAAAGAGTCTCACGTGACTTGGCAACTAAACAACACCTACCTCAAGTTCCAATTCAACCAGAGGCCCCCAAACTTACAAAACCACACACTTATCCAGGCCAATGCAACACAGGCCAGGCCTGCTGAGCCCCCATGTGGTCCTTCCTCAGACCCAACAATTCCTCTGAGGACCAGAAAATTCCCATCACTAGACTCCCCAAGGATATATGGACCAGTCATATGACTGTCACCTCCAGAGGTGGGAATTAGTGTAAGGCTCCAGAGAGATATATGAGTTCTAGAAGAACTACTGATCCAGCGCCTATATGGCAGTATAACTAACCTGCCAGGTGCTGTTTCCTATATTATTGTTTTATATTCTTATCTAATTGCTCGTAAGCTTCTGCTTTGTCTTCTCAGTTGGTTGCAATCATCCCTGGGGTGCCAAGGAGTGTTACCTGAATCAGTACTTATTAATACTCCCTCTTACCTAGCACAGAGTGTGTTAATTGCTCAGTCAGGTCCAACCCTTTGCAATCCCACAGACTGCAGCCCACCAGACTCCTCCATCCATGGGATACCCAGGCAAAAATAGTGGAGGGGGTAGCCTTTTCCTTCTCCAGGGGATCTTCCCGACCCAGGGATTGAACCTGCGTCTCCTGCATTGCAGGCAGATCATTTACCATGAGAGCCACCCAGGAAGAAACAGACCATCCAGATATAACTACTGATTTGTCTGTCACAGACACAAAATCGCTCTGTGACATAGACAGAATTCCTATACTTGTCCCTGTGTTTAAAGTGAGAAACTGAGGCACACAGCAGTCAATTAAGGGCATGGGCTCACCCGTACCACAAGCAAGGAAAACACATACTGGCTGATCTAGGCCAACTACCCTCGGCCACACCTTGTACTGCTTCCTATGAATACAAAAAGTCAGGGGTCAGGGGGACAGATTACTTCCCTGGGGAAAGGAAGCAAGGTTAAGAAAGGTTTCATCCAAAAATAACTAGTTTAATGACATCTAAAGTTAGAAACCAGGTCATTTGTATTGAGGGGAAGTACAGAAGAACATGGTGGTTAACACAGAGCCTCTGCTAGCCCTTTAAAGCTTTTATGCTGATTCAAAAAATTCAGGTAGATGGAGCCCTGCACTAGGAAAGCCAGTGAGACAGAGTACCTGCCGCATTTCAGCTGCTGCCATCCCCATGAGCCAAGCGCCCCTGTGCAGTGAACAGCCTGCACAGATGTACATGGTGGGTCCAGGTTAAAGAGAATGCAAATTCCAGAGTCAGGTTGCCTGGGGTGGGGAGCTCAGCTCCAAAGCAGTTTCACTCTATGACAACGGATCTCTATTTACTTCTCTACATTTCCTCATCTAGAAAATGGGGATATTTCATAACAAGGATTAAACAGGAAAATACCAGTGCCTTATACTATTAATTATTTATAAGTAGGCCAATCTTTAAATGGAGTAGGCTGCACTTCCCAAAAGGCCGGGAAGTCTCTTTCAAAATTATGTGAAACATCATTGTACAAGAAAGGTTTGTAAAAGTTGCAAATGTGAAATTACTTAACTGTACTTGACATAAGCCCACGGTGCAAAATAATGAAATCTATGAAGAGGTACTTATGAGTCATTCACTTATGCCTTGACTGTTGGATTGGAAATGAAGAAAAAGACAGGAAAATTGTTTCCTGCTTTTGTAGGCAATTATGCAGCCAGTGTCTCTGAAAACAGAGCAAACAACGCAATGATGTAAATGCCATGGCCTTTGCTTTTCTTTTCGTTTGGGAAGAACTAATCAGGCAAAAACCTAAACTTCTCAGCAAATGGACCAATTTCCAAACAGGAATTGTATCACATATTTCCACTCACTAAAAAATTATAAGAGTCCTTTCAATAATGCTTTGGGGTCCAGTATTATGCTTAGTACAAGGAACAGTTGCCAAATGAATGGATTTAATTGGATTCCTTCAGAAATTAGGAGCTGTGTGCTGATCACACATCTTCCTGCTCATCAGTACCTGTGATTCTTTTAGTCCCAAGTTGATGGCAAGTTTCTTTCGGTCTGTTTTGCTGATATATTTCTGCTTCTGAAACATTTTCTCCAGAGCCTTTCTCTGGTCCTCAGAAAAGACAGCTCTTCTTAAAATGCCCCTCCGAGCTTTGGATGTAGATTCTTGTGTCAGAAGAGGCAGTACACTCTCTTCTCCTAGAGGGAAAAAGTAATACAAAAAGCCCCATTAGCTTTGGGAGGAGAAGTCCACTCATATTCCCCAGAACCATATCCTCCACCTCTTTGCCATGGCCAAATTATCTCATCTTTGAACTTTGCACACATAGAGTGCTTCTTAACCTCTTTTTGGTCATGGACTCCATTGAGAATCTGATAAAAGTTCTTTGCTACCCACTGGGGAAAAAAAACAACATACAGATGCTTGCCTTCCCAATTTTGCATGCCATGTCAGAAAGTCCATGGTCCCAGGTTACAAAGCTCCAATGTAGAACAAGTGATAGATGGTTTAAATACTTAATTTTCTTTAATTCTTCATTTATTTATTGTCTCAAATTGTTGAGCACTTACCATATGAGCAGGCACTCTGCTCAAAGCCATACAACGAGAAGCAAGACATATGTTTTATCATACTCGTTACCTATAAAATCAAGGGGGAGGCATTTATTGAACTAGCATCACAAGTGTGATGAAGTATTCCTAAGGAGGGTGCCTTAGGAACCCAAAACAATGGGTCTAACCTTAATCTGGGATGTCAGGAAAAGCATGCAAGAGTCAGAGATGTTTAATATGAGAAGGAAGGTTTGGAAGACCTGCAATCACCTCCTACCCTCTCAGTTCAGTTGATTATCAACTCCTTCAAGGCAGAGACACTACTTCTTCTGCCTTTTTTGGCTGGCACAACACTGGTTTCCAGCCTCTGTGAGTTTCATTCATCATTCACTCGTTCATTCAGCTTTCTAGTAGTGGTAGGCAGAATTATGTCCTTCCCAAAGATGCCCATGTCCTAATCCTCAGAGCACATGAATATGCTGTATTAAATATCAAGGGGGAATTAAGGTTGCAAATGGAATTATGGTTGCTAATCAGCTGACCTTGAAATTGGGAGAGTATCTTGGAGAATCCAAGTGGATCCAATATAAGTGGGAGAGGGAGACAAAAAAGGAAGTCACAGTGAGAGTTTTGAAGATGTCACACTTCTTCCTTTGAATGTTGGAAGAAGGGGCCATAAGCCAAGAAATGCAGGCAGTCATTGGAAACTAGAAAGGCAAGGAAACAAATTCTCCCCTAGAGCCTCCAGAAGAAATGCAGTTCTTCCGACACCCTGATTTTAATCCAGTGAGACCCATTTCAGGCTTCTGATCTCTGTGACTGTAAGACAGTAAGTTTGTGTTGTTTTACGATGCACGTTTGTGGAAATTGTTACAGCAGCAAGAAGACACTAATATACTGGGTTATCAAACTCACTGGGTTAACTGCCAAGGAAACCAGACAAAAAGTACATGGTCGTTGCCACAAGGAGTTCACCTTCTCATGGCAGGACCAGCACACGAACATCACTCCAAAATACAGGAACTGGGAGAGCAGGGACTCCAGTTTACAGCTGTAGCTGGTATGCATTTTGGTGCTTAATAATTATTTCTAAATAAAGAAGCAAATGAATGTCTTAAGTACTAGAATAGAATGATCTCAAAAATGCTGTGGCATTACAAAAAATGAAGTGATGAGTTCAGAGAAAATAGGCTTAGTCAAGTATAACAGAACAGTTCAGTTCCAGAAAAAAAAGGAACTAAGGCCAACCCAGGCAGAATGACCAGCATGTTTCAAAGTACTAAGGCACAAAGGAATAAAGTGTCGCCAAAGAAGAGCAGTCCCTTGTACTGCAAGGAGACCAAACCAGTCATTCCTAAAGGAAATCAACCCTGAATATTCATTGGAAGGACTGAGGCTGAAGCTTCAACACTTTGGCCACCTGATGCAAAGAGCTGACTCACTGGAAAAGACTCTAATGCTGGGAAAGATTAAGGGCAGGAGGAGAAAGGGACAACAGAGAATGATATGGTTGGATGGCATCACTGACTCCATGGACATGAGTTTGAGCAAGCTCCGGGAGATAGTGAAGAACAGGGAAGCCTGGCATGCTGCAGTCCACGGGGTCACAAAGAGTCAGCCGTGGCTTAGTGATTGAACAGCAAGGAAAAGTAAGCAGTCAGCAAGGCCAAGGAATGGCATAAAGCAGAGGTACAAGCTAGAAACCATATCCAGCCTGGAGATGCGCTTTGTTTGGTCTTAGACTGTTGGTAAAAAATTCTGATTTAGCTGTTCATAATGAATAATTGGGAGGTTTCATTTGAAGCTCAGGTTTTCAACATCTCTTCAAAGGTAACCTCACTAGGCTTACCTTCCCACAGAGCAAAGAGCTACCAGAGTGAGTGGCAGATGCCCCCTATAGGGAGCATGTGGTCCCTAGTTTGCCATAGCCTCACTAGCTTGCTTTTTACCTGTCAGGCTCTTGAAGACATCTGGACCTGTGGTGTAGAGATTATGGAATCAAGTGGAATCAGCAATGAAGAGGGCTACAAGGGTCTGGAACATTATCCAATAGGTAGTGAAGACCAACAGAATATGTTTAAGTGGATGTGACATGATAATAATAAACATACATCGAGCACTTTCTCTGTCCTCATACTTGCCCTGTATTAAGCCACTTATATACATTATTCCATTTAATTCTCCCAACCTATCTATGCCATGAATGCTACTATTATTCTCTACATTTTAAAGATGAATAAAAGGAAGCTTAGGTAGCTTAAGAAACTTTGTCCAAAGACTTATTCCAAAACAAATGCTCTTAACCCTACACAGTGCTGACACAATTCTGACTTGTATTTTAGAAGCAAAATGTCAATAAATAGATAAATCTTGTCAATTCTACCTCTGTAATATAATTGCTTTCTTTCCTATTTGTCTAAAAGATTCGTAAACAACTTCCAGCTAGTCTCTCAGCTCTGGGTTAGGTCTCATTCTCATTCATCCTGACCTTCCCAGAAGAAACACTGGCCTCTCTTTCTTTCTTTGAGCTCTGCCACACTCATAGAAATCCCCACAGAAATGCCATAATCCTTGGGATGTAATGAAGCCCAGTTCTTTACCAAGCTCTAGTTTTACTGATGCCCTTTCGATTCATCCTATTGTGGGATCTTAGTTAATTCTCCATCTATAGAACCAATTACTTTTGCCTGCCTCACACCAAGGTCATATCTTAAAGTCAGGCTTTGGCAACTGGAATCACTATTTCTTGGTGGGTCAAGACTGTGAAGAAAGAAACGTTTATGAACACAGCCAGGGCTCCTGTTTGTGACTATGGGCTTCTGCTCCCTGTCCTTGGTCAGGACCACATGGCATCTCCGATACAGCCTGGCAACAAGTGTCCTCAAATTCCAGCATGACCCTCTCACTTCATATTTTGATCTGGAATTCTTAACTTATAAATGTGTCCAATCTACCATTATTATAGCCATACATATTAAAATTAGGGAAAGAAACTTAAATACCCAAAGGTAATGAAATGCATAAGCACATCATGTTATACCTACTAAGTGAAAATTTAAAGAACCATTAAAGATGCCTAGGAAGATCAGGCAGCAGCAAGAAAAATACAGTATATGATATATAAGATACATATCATGCAAGAGCTAAGTAAAAATAAAGCAGAGGAAAAAAGACTGATAAAGCAAAAATAAAAACTAAGAGAGGCTATCATCTTACCACTATAGACAAATAATGCATCTCCACTCTACATTATACCTCTGATTGAGTTTTATAAGGAAAACAAGCAAACACTGTAGCAACCTTTGGGAAAGAATCTAGCCAAGTAACTGAATCATCACTGAGTGACAACTGAGAATGAACCCACTCCATCCTTCAGATGTTCATATTTGATAACAAGAAATGTGAGGAGGATAGGATCACACATAGTACTATGAGATAAACACCCACAGACCACCACATAGAGAACTTTTAAGCACCAGTTGAGAAGCCCTTCAGTTTTGGAGGCCAACAGAGTAAATCCTGAGAGAGAACTGCTACAAAAAGACTAGCAATTCCTCTTGTGGGACAGCTCAACAATGCGGGGCGGGGGNTGTGTGCGTGTTCTCAGTTTCTCAGGCATATCCAACTCCTGTAACCCCTGGACTGTAGCCTGCCAGGCTCCTCTGTCCATGCGGTTTTCTAGGCAAGAATACTGGATTGCCACTTCCTACCTTAGGGGATCTTCTCAACCCAGGGATTGAACCCAGGTCTCCTATATCTCCTGCATTAGCAGGCAGAATCTTTACCACGGAGTCACTTGGGAAGCCCCATATTTTATCATACAACATATTAAATCTATACAAAAATACAAATAAATTTATGGCTCAATATAAGCTAGTTTAAAATTTTTTCCTACAATTTTTCTAAATCAAGGTTTTGTAGATAGGGGTCATAATTCTACTCATTTAGTGCATTCTTCACTAACATCTAAATGTTTACCTAAAACAATGTGGGTAACACTTTTAAATGCCCCTAAGACTTTTTAACAGGAACCCACAGATTTTCCTATTGAATTATGTTTTCTACTAAGCTATGTTAAGAACAGAAAGAAGAGCCCCATCAAAGAGATCTACAAATAAAATATTCTCACCAGTGTGAGGGGTGAGAATACACACAGACCAGACTCCGTCTCTAAAAGAGAGACCTTTGGAGTAGTTGTGAGGATCAGAGGGTTAACTCCTTGATTTGGTCCTCAAGATTTGGTGCTCTATAGCAAAAACACGGCCACTGAACAAGCAAAAGCCACAGCAAATATAAAGAACAGCCCATTCTTCCCTTGTGTGCTAGTTGCTTGGTTTTTCGAAGTTCTGCTCTCAATACATGAATCATGACTGTTTTCATAAACAGACACGGCTCAGTTTCCTACAAGAAGCATGAGGCAAGATGCTTCTCCTCCCATTGCAGCTCCTCTGCACATCTCCCCTGGGAGGCTTCTGCGGGCTCTCTCTGGCTCTAACCATAAACCAGTGAGGAACTTACCCCATTTCCCTACCTTCTAAATGTAGGAATATGAGCTCAAATTCACACATGCAAAACAAACAGAGGCACTTCAAGAACTTGATGGTGATTTAAAAGTCTCTCAGAAGCTATTAAAAAGTTACAAGCAACAAATACCTTTGATTATTCCTAAATTCATAACAAAAATCTGCCTTATATGGAAACTTATAGGTGACAATAATAAATAAATACTATAAAAATAACAATGAATAGATTCAGAGATTAGAGCAGGCCTAGAAAAGAGGCTTTAGAAGCCAGGGCCATCAACTCAAGGCACTATAGACTCTGCCAACTTGCAGATGTCAGTATATTTTTTTATAGTGTGACTTCCATATACATTTGGGGCTCAGTATGTGCTGCTGTGTGTGCCAACAACAAGCAGTGTGTTGTGAAATCTTTACCACAATCCCCAGAGGAAGATATTAGCATCCTCATTTTCATAGGACAAAAACTGAGGCTTTGGAAAGATAACTGTGCAGTTGAGACCACACATGCAAGAAGAGTGAGACCAACCAACACTCTTTAAAACTATACCGAAGATTGTCAAAGCTACAGATGGTCATGGAAAGAGGTCAGAAGGTGGGGAGAGTCATTAAAATGGCAGAATGATCTAGGACAACAAAGTTTGCAAAGGTATAATTCCCAGCATCTTGCGACGCCCCCCGCCCCGTACCACCTTCATCCCCGGGGAATCCCTGTGTGACGTGAGCCTTCTGAAAGGCATTTCAAACGGAGGTGTGCTAAGTGAATGATACAGGGCGATGAGCAATAGAGAAACATTCAGGAGATAAACTGGTGGAGGTTTCTGTCTACCCCAGGGTAAGCTACTACTACTACTAATGAACATTTGGGGAGAAAGAAAACTCCATTCCAGAAATGTTACTTGAATACTTTCACTGCCTCTTGGAATTGTTGAATAGAGCCATCAACTTGGAAAAGCTATTGTCTTTGAGTCTCTGACTCCTTTAAACCTTCTTCCTGGTTGACTGAGTGTCATTTATCTATAGAGTACCCTCCCTTCACTATTGAGAAGTCACTACTGAGAAGTTATGCTCAACTCATCACACAAACTCGTTTACATGTTCAGCACAATAACTAGACTATTTATCTATTATCACAAAATGCTGCATCTGTCTGAAAATCTTAGAGTTCCAAAGATAAATCCTTATAAAAGAAGCTCTCAGGCAGCCTTTTGTGGATTTCCATAGGTTTTGATGGGGCTTCCCAAGTGGCGCTAGTGGTAAAGAACTTGCCTGCCAATGCAGGAGACACAAGAGATACAGGTTCGATCCCTGGGTCAGGAAGATCCTCTGGAGGAGAGCGTGGCAACCCACGCCAATACTCTTGCCTAGAGAATCCCATGGACAGAGGAGCCTGGCGGGCTATAGTATGTAGGGTCACAAAGAGTCAGACACGACTGAATCAACTTAGCATGCATGCACAGGTCTTGTTCAGTTCCCTAAACCTACTGACCACTCCAGCTGAGGGCAGAACACAGCCAGGACAGGTGTGTTTATCAAGGTGTGCGCCCAACAGAGCATCGCCACCTTTGAAAGTGACACTCTTAGGACCAACCTAAAATAATAACAGGGTCCCTTTCCTACCGCCTTCAACAAAATCCTAAATTCAAATTTCAAGAGTATATTATATTCTTTTAAGTTTTAACAAGGAAGGGAAGATAGTTAAATTATCTCTAAATGCATAATCTAAGCTCACCTACCAAGAAAGCTGAAACAATTTATTCCAGAATAGTATGCCTTACTCATATCTTCATAATGCTGCTCCAAATTTAAACTTTGTTTTTTAATGCATAAAATTCTTGAAAGGTTAAATTCAAGTTGGGTACTCAAAGACAAAGAAATAATGATTTGATTAATTCAATGAGATATCCTGCATAATTAAGACACCTACACATTTTCATGTAGTCTTCTTCTTAAAGTCATTCTCTGCATAATTTCTACAACTTTCCATTTCATTTTATCTGAGAAGTATGCTATTTTGAAAGGAACCTTATGAATACACTATCAAAGATTTTCCTTACACTGCTTTGGGGAAGAGGAGAATTTACCACTGCCTTTTAATTTTTCCCCACTGTAAGGATAGTGCTTAAATAGCTAATTAAACTATTTATTATATGTGAGAAGGGCACTGAATGAATGATTGTTTCCACATTGCAATAAGACAATCATAAATCTAACAGGTTAACAAGAAAAACTAAATCAATTTTAAACAAGTGAATCATGTAAAGAATCAAAATGATATTTCTCTTGCTATGGATGTGTTGATCTGATCCTAAACTTTTAGAAATAGTAAAATCAATATTGTGAAACAATGATGAGGACCATGATTTTACTACTTATTAAAATTTTTAGTATAAACCATAATTTCGGCTGTCCAGGCTGAAACTAAATACAAAATTACTTGGACAGTTCATTTTCCTTCTTTTGTGCAAACGGAAAAAATTTAAATTCCTGGGCATAAAATCATTCTATTATTAAAAACAACAAGAAGAAAAGCAAATAAATGCCTTAAATAAAAACCTTACTGGGCAGTTGTAAGCCTTATTAACTGTTCGTTGGTATCATGAGTATTTATGTAAAATTCTTACTGATGGCCGAAATCTACCATTTCATTATTATTTGCTCCCAATACAATGAACATTATACATAAGAATATAGGAAATTCACTTCAGATTTATCACTAATGAGATGCCAACCTTTTTATTAAGAACACTGGTGGCATCTCTAAGCTGTTTTAAAATGTCAACTTAGAAAAGAGACAAACGTCAGTCTGAGCAGTGCTGATTTTCCACTTGTATGTTTTATTAAATAAAAGAGGTAAACACAGAGCTTTATAAGCTTCCAGGAATAAACACCACAATTTACAATAGCTATACCAAAGGCACAAAGTGGGAAGGGCCAAGAAGCAGATGGAGAATAAAGAGACTTGCTTAGAGTGATTTTTTTTTTTCAAACAATTGAGAAGATGAAGTTGTCTAGGAAATGACTTTCGACTTACTTTTATGGGCTTTATTTATTAAACTGGCCTGGGCACCAGTATACTTTTACAGCCTAGAAACTCTTATTAAAACACTACTATAAAATGAATACACTCACACACACATGAATGTCCACCTGTCACATGAAATGTTTTGGTCCACTGCCTCCTAACTAAACTACACTGCCAGAGATTTTCTAAAGTAGAAAACCAGTGTTATACCAAGGTGAAATCACTAAAACTAGGTGTGGGAACTCTTTCAATCTCCACCCCTGGGATACCACACTAAAGATTAATTCCACAGAGATGCCACCACGCTGCAGTATCAGATGTTTGGGGTGTAAGTCTCTGCTCCAGCCGTTCTTTCCCGATACTCTAATATATGGTGATAAATGTTTCCTTAATCTGTACAACATTTTTCAATTACCCTCATAGGAGACCACCTTGAAGGAGCGAGTAAAAGGTTTAGTCATGGTTTCTATTTTTCTATTTGAGTCAATACATTCTAGTTAAATGGACAATTAATAGGTCACTTCCAAAATAGTAGTGTATCAGTCCTGGTTAATAAACAATCCCCACAGTGGATAATAGGCCCTATGTATTCAGCAAGCCCTGTATACACTCAGCTCATCCACTAAATCCCTTTTCAGGTGGACAGGGTTATATGGGAAGATGAGCTGGAATGAGTCTATAAAAGTCAGTTTCATTCACTGCTTTATTTTTCAGCCAAGTGCTTTAAATGGTGTCCAGAAATTCACTTGGAATGTGAGACAGCAGAAAAGACTGACACACAGTCTCGCTTCATGACCATACAAAAGGGCAACTGACCCTTGCCCGCGCTTTTTCCCTGTGAAATGGTTCTGAAAGTTCATCTGCACAGTGAAAAATAGTGGTGAGGTCGCGTGTGGATGAGTCAAGTGAAAGTGGCGATTGGTCACGGGTCTGTCACCCATTGTGGCTGGGTCCCGGCCATGTAAAGTGCCCTGTGGGAAAGTATCAGCCCCCTAAAGAGATGCTCAGAAGACTGCAGCTCATTAAACGGCCAGCATTTGCTGCCTCACTTGTCAGGAATCATTCTGTTGAGCAACTGCTCTCCTAAAACATTCATAAAACACATGCAGAGAGGCAACAGAGATCTGAATTCAACCAGGATGCAGCTCTGGACTTCAGCCTGACTACTCCTAGCTCACTTTTCACCTGACAGAGCTGCTAACCTGAATCAATGTTTCCTCTTCGGCAGCAGAAATCCACATACCCCTCTGCTGGACTTCTTTATCACAAACTTGAGTCCTCCTGCCTACAGATTCTTAGCTGACCAAAAATCTCAAGATCATTGTGAATGTTATTTCTTTTTATTTTCACGTAGACATTTTTTTTTTCCCTTTGTGCATGTGAATGTGTGTGTGCTCTTCAAGTTTCAAAGGTTGTCATTCTCCCTCTATCTCGGACACTATTAAAATGATGTAATGTTTGAAGAAAAGTTCTCTTGAAAACACTTCCTACAACCCCGGTTGGTTTTCTTCAAGATCATAAGAGATGGTATTTATCTCCTTTTACAATCTTGGCAATTTTGGATTATTTTCCTTGGACACCTAGTGACTGTCTGTGTTACATTTTAAACCGAATGGAAATTTTACACAATCTCTTAGCTTTCCTTCCTTTCTTTTTTCTTCTTTAAATGAGCATCGCTACATGTTTCAGCAAGAGCCAAATGGGTCCCTCTGAGATCTTTTATATCAAATGGAAAACAAGTCACTTTCCTTGATGCGTCAGCCCTGGGTTTCAAAGCTGTTAGAAACCGCTCACAATCGCAGTGTGCTGAGGTCTGATAAATCTCTGGAAACCTCTTGAATAGGAACGCTGTGATTTTTAGCGAGGAATTAGCTCCTTGTCATTGCATTACCAATTAGTTTTCCAGAGCACATTAAATCCTGCTGCTTTGGTTTACAGAGTAACTGAGGCATTGCTGATGAAGCATAAAAACTTACTTGCAAAAGCAGTGGGGGATGTGGGGCGCCGACAGGACCCACCGCAGCATGCTGAGTAGAATGGCGGGGCGCTCAGAAAAAAAGGCTTGGAAGGCGCTGCAGAGAAAGCATTGATTGCATTGATCAGCCATTTCTTTTAGACAATATTCAAAATCCCAGTTTTCCCAAAGTCATGGAGTAAAGCCCTACATCTTCGGAGCGTTTAGTTAGCTACAACTTTTACTGGAATTAAAGTCATTTTAAAGTAGTCTTAACCTAATGGGGTGGGATGGGAAGGGAGGTGGGAAGGATGTTCAAGTGGGAGGGGATATGGGTAAACCACGGCTCATTCATGCTGATGTTTGGTAGAAACCAACACAAAACTGAAAAGCAATGATCCTTCAGAATAAATAAATACATAAAATTGAAAAGTAAATAAATAAAGTAGTCTTCACCTGTCAGATCTTGCTGAATAACTTAATCATGGTTTGGAAGTTATGATATAAATGCTCAAATTATCAAAACCAAAGTTACTTGTTCACTTTCTGTGTGGTTATAAATAGTAAATATCAAATAGTGCTTTATTTAAAATTGACTAGAGCAACACTGCCCAGGAGAACTCTCTCTGATGATGGACACATCCTCTCTCTGCGTGTCCAATATGTATCTACTTGTCACATATGCCACTGAGCACTTGAAATGTGGCCAGTATGTCTGCATAACTGAATTCTTCATTTCAGTTTTTTAAAATTTAAATAGACTCATATGTCTAGGGGCCAATACATTGAGCAGCAGTTCTAGATATAATACTTACCAAGAAACAATAAGCATGTTACATGCTTCAGTTTAGTTTTTAAAGAGGTTATTTTACTCCACTTTTTATTTTCAGAAGGTCCTTTGAAATATATAGACAACTGGATTTCAAAGTTGAAAACAGTTAATTTACTGAGCAATTCAATGACAACAGTGTTTTTTCTGATCACTTTTACATGCTTAAAAGTATTTGAGAATAGTAACAACATTTACTCTCAAGTGATATCTGGTTAACCTGAAAGCATATGTGTTTATAGTATAGGGAGTTACCATATAATTCTGCTCTGCTCACTGTATTAAACTATGCTATTCAGAACGTTTTCAGTACATATATATAGAATAGTTATCATTACTCTTGTAAATAAAGAAATTTTAAACTCTGCTCCTCAGCAGATGAAAAATGGCTATAAAGGATGTCACAGAATATTAGTAGCTCTCCTGAACTGAGCACTTACTACAAGCCCTGCTGGCTCAGACGGTAAAGAGTGTGCCTGCAATGCAGGAGACCCAGGTTCCATCCCTGGGCCGGGAAGATCCCATGAAGAAGGAAATGGCAACCACTCCAGTACTCTTGCCTGGAAAATTCCATGGACCGAGGAGACTGGTAGGCTACAGTCCATGGGGTCACAAAGAGTTGGACATGACTGAGCAACTTCACTTTCACTCATTATATGCCAGGCTTTGGTTAAGTGTAGGACCTTAAATACAATATGTCCTTTTGTACAGTAGGGTTTAATATAATACAAACACAGGTGAGACAGGTCTGACACATTCTAAATAGTCAATAGATTTTTGATAAATAAATGAATAATCTTAAAACTAAGAAATAGGAGATCAGGAATTAATCATTTCCCTGTTCCTCTAACACTCTGAAACAGTATCTTCTGTAACAGATAACTTTTAAATCTAGAGGATGACTTGAAAATAAATATTTTTACTATTCTCCCTTTATTTTCAATGGAAACATTTTTCACTTCTTAATCATATACAGTGAATATAATTTTGCTGCAAATACATGCCTTTTTAAAGAAGAGAGTAATTTCAGACTCAAATTTTAACCAATTGATAAGCATTCATTTATTTTACCAAGATCTTTGAAGGACATTTCAAAATAAATATATAAGTACATAAAATAATTTTATGGTCTCATGGTCTTTAATGCTGTCAAATTGCAAATTAACCATAATGGAGGGTCTTTTCTATAATATGGCTTCCCTGGTGGCTCAGATGGTAAAGAATCTGCCTGCAATAAGGAAGACCCAGGATCAATCCCTGGGTCAGGAAGATCCCCTGGAGAAATGGCTTACCCACTCCAGTATTCTTGCCTAGAGAATTCCACGGACAGAGAGACCAGGTGGGTTATAGTCCATGGGGTCACAATATGATGAAAAGCTGTCAATGTCAATGGTTTTAGTTTTTTAATACCTGAATTTTCAAGTAATAAAATGTCAATGCTACTTTGAAAACATGGCAACTAACCAAAGTATAAAAAAGAGATCCATTTTGGTGTTCAGTAAGTTCTATAAAACTTTTTAAAAATTGTCATTGTTATCATAAGTTGTTCTAATGCTGATTTAAAAGCCATCATAGAAATGATAAATCAATTTATTTGAACTTAACATCTTATAAGAATAGGGCTTCCCAGGTGGTTCAGTGGTGAAGAATAATCTGCCTGCCAGTGCAGAGGTAGGTTTGATCCCTAGGTCAGAAAAATTCCCTGGAGAAGCAAATGGCACCGCACGCTAGTATTCTTGCCTGGAAAATTCCATGGACAAAGGAGCCTGGTGGGTTTGAGTCCATGAAGTTGCAAAACAGTTAGACATGAGTTAGCAACTAAACAGCAACAGTGTTATAATAATATGGCATTGTTAAGGCTGAGTTAAGAGTTACATTTTTTAATGTTTCTATGAATATATGAAGCACTTTGAAAAGTGGATATTAATATATATATAATAAAAGTTGTCTCATATTTATTCTCAAGTATTTCTGTTAACTTACTTCACCTCCAAACTAAGTACTCCATAGGTATTTTAAGTTATAGCTATTGTACTGCTTGGCATTTTGTAAACTGAGGTAAAAGAAAAAGGCTCGCCATGTTGCATTTACATATGTGCACGTAAGCATCTATCATAATAGTTACACACAAAAAAAAAATTTTTTGCTCAATATCCAGTGTAGAAAATAAATATGCTATGGTGATACTATTGATATCAATATAACAATGCAGGATAGGTACAAATTACTAATTTTACTATTCTACCCAAAATGTTTCTCAGTTTATTCATACAGCCCTAAAAATGAAAACAAAGAATTTTTTAAAAGTATGGTTCATCTGACACATATACACAATGGAATATTACTCAGCTATTAAAAAGAATGCACTTAAATCAGTTCTAATGAGGTGGATGAAACTGGAGCCTATTATATAGAGCAAAGTAAGTCAGAAAGAAAAGCACCAGTACAGTATATTAACACATACATATGGAATTTTAGAAAGATGGTAATGATAACCCTATATGCAAGACAGCAAAAGAGACACAGATGTAAAGAACAGACTTGTGGACTCTGTGGGAGAAGGTGAGGGTGGGATGATTTGAGAGAATAGCATTGAAACACATATATTATCATAAGTGAAATAGATCACCAATCCAGGTTGGATGCATGAGACAGGGTGCTCAGGGCTGGTGCACTGGGACGACCCTGGGGGATGGCATGGGGAGGGAGGTGGGAGGGAGGGTCAGGATGGGGAACACATGTGCACCCATGGCTGATTCATGTCAATGTATGGCAAAAACCACCACCATGTTGTAAAGTAATTAGTCTCCAATTAAAAAAAAAAGTACGGTTCATTTGAGACAAGTGTTCAATTAAATTCAATTGCGATAAATGAGGTTCTGAGACATAGGCTCTTAGTGTTAAATTTAACCAGAAAAAGTTTAATTGAACAGTTTTTTATATTACTCCATACTATTCTATCTTAATATAGTAAATCTGTAATCAAAATGACAGTTGCTATGTCTACAGTAGCAACTCTATAGAGGCTAAAAGAACTACATGTGACATGACCAGGCTTAAAGTTCCATTGTATAGTATTTTCTCACCATTTAAAATCACCTAATTGACACACATATATTTACACAGAAGATTAGTTGATTCCTAATTTCTCTGCGTAAATACATCTTGTTTAAGCTGGTTTATGTGGAAATCACTGTGAAATTTCAATTAAGTGCTCCATTTTTTAGGTGCTTGTACTTGGACATAAGTCAAATGTTAATCTAACAGAGCATGTGATGGCCGGGATGTTGAATGGTGTGAAGAAATAGCCATTTGAAAATAATGCAATACATTAAAGATATACGTTACATTTTAACATTTGTCCATCATGTACTTTTTCAAGCAGTGAGCAAAAAATGGAAACTCAAGTATGATAAAAACAAAGTGACAAGTTAACAGATACATTAAAACTTTAGCAAACCATTTAAGAACTACTTTGGAGATACTCTGAAAAGGGCAGAAAACAAGGCAATTTCAAGACCATGATCTGCATTTCAAAGCCCATCAGTGCAATCTAGATGCAGTCACTTTATTATTTATCATGTTAGGAACAATTTGTTTTAGGCTTACCAAACAATATACATGACTGGAATGCCTACTATACCTAGGCGCTAGACTGGCTATGAAGTTAACTCTTGCTATTTCATTTATTAATATTCATCCTCAAATGGGCATGCATTTGGAACGTGATGATGACTGTTCTCAGCAGACAAGGGAAACACAGGTATTTTAGCATAATATGTATTGATAGTTTTTAGCCATGAGAGAGAAGGATGTCAGGCACACATACTGGCAGTTACTTAGTAAGAGGCAGACATTTCCATATCTCCCCAGCTTTCCATAAGAGAAAAATGAATGACTTTCCCCGTTGGTGGGGTGGGGTGGGGGTGGGGGGATGCATGTTGTTAAATCCTGCAGCAAGATGCTAGGTTCTCTGAGCACACCACTTCAGGATACTACCAATTTTGTATTCTGCCAACAAATCTGCCTTCCGGGTTCTGTGGGATTCTGTTTCAAGTTACAAAAAAATGATTTAAAATTTCTAGAACAAAACTGTCTGAATCCAAATGTATAAACTCGCTTATTCAAAGAAAACTTGGTGAACTTTTCACTTCTTAATCACATGTTCTGACTTATCTGAAAACACAGAATCAAACTATTAATTATTTTCAATGTTTAATTAAGATGGAAACTTAGAGCCAACTTAATGGTGAACTGGCCTGATTTTTTTTTAAACTTAACTAGATGGT